GAGGAGAGTAGCAAGAAACCTGACCTATGATGAAAGGTTAAAAAAAACCAACTGGGCATGTTTAGTCTTGAGAAAAGAAGGTTGAGAGTGGGCCCTGGTAACAATTTTCATATCTGTTAAAGGCTGTTATATAGAGGATGGTGATCAAATTAATTGTTCTCCATGCCCCATAGAGACAGAACAAGAAGTAATGGGCTTAACCTGCAGCAAGAGGAATTTAGGTTAGATATTAGGACAATCTTTCTAACTCTTTGGAACTATTTTTAGTCAGTTCTGCTTTAGGGAAACTATTTCCATAGCAGTCAGTGCATGTAAATGGTATTCTGTATGCACCAGGTGCTTCTACAGTGTGAGGGGGAAACTGAGGCCTGAGCATATTCAAAATAACATTCAGAAACACCACCCAGACACTGATTGTTAAATTGGAAGGAAATGCAAATGTGCACATAAAACTAACACCCCAATATGGAATTCAATACATTGCAGTCAGTATGTAATGCCATTCACGCTCAAATGGAGACATAAATTACTGATATGATAAACTGTATCACTGGATCAGGCAGTATATGAAGTACCTGTACACTGTCTTCTATGTCATTGACTATGGAATTGAGTTAATCAAGCAATAAATCATATCAGTACTGAATTAAGTACAAGGTGCCAGGTCCTTCCCGCATTAACAGAAATTGTGTGTTGTGTCCAGCTGAGGTATAGCTGTGACCTCACTTATAAGAACATAAGATTTACCAGACCAGACCAGACCATCATTCCTTCTAGTTCAATATCTGACTTCAAAGGAAGGCAAAAATTCATATATCAGTAGCTAGCCACTTATGCAATTCCCTTAATGGGGAGAAAAACTGTCTTTATCTCAGCAGAGATCAGCTTATGTTGTGAAGCATGAGATTTGATCTACAAATGTTATTACTGGTCACGAAACTGTCCAGTTCCTCTCTAACTCCAGCTGCAGCATTAGATTCTCTGACCTTCATGGGCTTTGAATTCTAGGGTAGTGAATTTCCCAAATTGCTGTCTATGAAAGGGATGAAATGACTGAGACACATGAAAGGCCAGTGGAAGCTCAGTCAGTGTGTGTGTGTAATCCTAGTATAACATCTAACTAAGGAACTGGTGTTTCTATAGCACCTGCCCCTGACTTTCCAGGAATGGTATGGAAAAAATGACACCAATCTTACTAGTAGAAGGATTAATGGGTAACAAAATGCCTACCTTAAACATTCTGCCTTGGGGTGGCACCACATCTTTCAGACCGTGTTTGGAAGCATCTTTATAGAGAGAGGATATTTCTCCAGAACTTTCACATGAGAGAGCTCCATTCTCCCCAAGATGTCACACTACGTGAATATAAATGCTAAGGTCATAGGGGGCTCAGAAGTAACAAAAATAGATAGCATTCAAGTTTTAATACTTCAAATTGCTTCCTCTTTGAGGAATTTCTTGCTAGAACTCCTTTTCCCTAACCTCCACTTCAGGGCCCCATCAGGTAGAGTCCTCTCCTTATGTGCAAACCCGTCTTTATAAATCTAATGAAAGCAGACATCTTCCTGGAGATTTGTTCCTGTCATGTTTAGTTCATGGGTTTCAAACAAAGCTGGAGAGAGAAATATTACTGGCAAATAAACAAAAAAATCATTGCTGGTTGTAAAAAAAAAAAAAAAAAAAAAAAGAGAGAGAGAGAGAGAGAGAGAGAGACACCATATTGAGACTGAAGTAACAGTCCATAAAGGAACCACTTTCTATGTGACATAAGTCAAGGTAAATTAACTATACAAGATATGGCTTTCATGCTGTGCAAACTAGCCAAGCATTAATATCATTGTGCTTGATTTTACAATCCGTGTTGAGCCCAAACTCCCAGTAACATGAATGGAAATTCTGAGTATGTCCTGCAGAAGTTAGATCTGAAAAAGATTTCATATGTCGTTTTCACCTCATGCCAATGAAATATTGTTCTTTCTATAGCGTGTTTTCTAATGCTTTGTAAAGTCTGGTTTTGAAATGTCTCAAGAAATGAGATTTCCACTGCTTCCGACTAGAGACTATTTCACAGTCTGATAGCTCTCATCATTAGAAATAGTCTAATTTTTACCTTTTCCGGGTTTCATCCATTGCTCCTTTATGTATCCCCTTGATGTAACACTCTAAAGAGTTCCTTTCTCTGCTTGAGAGTTATCTCATCCAAATATGTGTAGGTATTGTGTTTGGCTTTTATTTTGGAGGAGACTCCTTAAAATAGTTTTAAATCCTTTTGTCCCCTTCTTATTGCTATAAATGAAATTGATACCCTTGACTGAGCCAGCATTTGTGACACCACGTAAATCCCTTCTTTGACAAGGTCCCATTTTAGCTTTCCAACATGCAGTATGGCTATTTATGCAATTGTCAAAGTTCTTCATAAAGTCATATGACATTGACTGTAGGTCTTAGTAGCCAAAGGTTGTACAGTCATATCAATAGTATCTGCAGCAGTAAGTGCAGATTAAAGAAAAGCCAGCTGCACATCCAGTCTGTTTCCCTTGGCAACAGCATCCTGCCAACAAGAGCACTGCCAAGTAAGGGCTGGAGAGGGAGGGACATGGATTACAAAATTAGGGATGGGCAAGCAATGTGTGAACTGGTAGCATTCAGACCAAAAAACATCTTGCAAATTCAGATTTCTTTCAAAAATATTCTTGAAATAGTTTTGCTTGTTCTGTTTCTTTTTCTTTACAGACAGACCTATTTCTTTGAGTGGATGCTAAAATTTATGCCAAGGTGCTAGCAAACAGACTGTCATCTTGCCCAATTATGTTCACCCTGACCCATCTGGGTTCATTGCTGGCAGACTCTCTGGTATCAGAAGAACTCTAAACTTCATCTGTCATGTTAATTCTAGCAATTCTTCCTGTGTTCTTCTTTCTTTGGCTGCTGAAAAAGCCTTCACCTGGCCGCAGTGGGAGCACCTCAGACAGATTTTGGTAAAGCTGGCTTTTGGAAATCAGGTTTCTACAGGCATATTGGCCCTGTATACTCCTCTTTAAGGCTGCATGTCTGTCATGGAGGTCACAGAAAGTCACGGACCTCCTTGACTTCTGCAGTGGCTGGTGCTGGTTCAGGGGCTGCCTGGGTCAGCAAAGGCAGTAGTTTGGGTGTGTGGGACAGGGCTCAGGGTTGGGGCAGAGAGTTGGGGTGCAGGGCAGCACTTACCTGTGGGGGGTGGCTCCCTGGCTCCCACCAGCATGTCCCTGCAGCTCCTGGAGGTGGAGGAGCCAGGGGGCTCTGCTTGCTGCCTGTGCCTGCAGGCGTCCCCCACCCCCGCAGCTCCCATTGGCTGAAGTTCCTGGCCAGTGGGAGCTGCAGAGCCAGCACCTGTGGCGGAAGCAGTGCGCAGAGCCCCCCTGGCTGCCCCTCCCCTAGCCAGCTTCGCCAACCCTTCCCTCCCCTCCCACCCCCATACCAGCAGGGGTCCTGGGCTGCGCACTGCTGCCTGCCCCCTCTCAGCACCAGCGGGAATCCCAGGTCAGGTGCTGTTGCTTCCCCCTCCTAGCATGGGTCCCAGGCCATGCACCGCCACCCATCCATCCTCCCCACCAGCACCAGCGGGGGTCCCGGGCCAGCCCCCCCTCAGCACTTGCAGCACCCCCAGACCGCCCCTCCCAGAGCATCTGTGGCTCCCCGGACCAAGTTTTAGTGAGGAGTGTATAGTAAAAGTCATGGACAGGTCACAGGCAGTAAACAAAACTTCACAGCCTGTGACCTGTCCATGACTTTTACTAAAAATACCCGTGACTAAAATGTAGCCTTACTCATCTTTGATTGTCTGCTTTGGTTAATGATCATCAATCACTTCCTTTTAATTTGTCTAGGGGTACAAGACAAGCCTTCCCCTTATCCTCTGTTAGCTTTGGCAATGGAGCCATTTGCAATAAATATGAGAAACCACCCCTTGTTAAAGGGCAGCAAAACATGCTAAAAATTATAGACCAGTTGATTTGGAATTTGGGCAGGTATCCGGCTTCAAAATAAACTATAATAAATGTGAAATTTTAGAAATTAATATTCCCAAAAGGGTCAAAACAAACTGTTGTCAGCTATATACATTTAAATAGGTAAAGCAATCTTTAAAATAAAATAATAAAATACATGGGGGAATGGAACAAATATGAAATTTCTCAGCTAGGTAGGCTAGCCTCGCTGAAGATGAATGTCCTCCCAAAGTTATTTTTGTTTCAGTGCATCCCTGTTGGTATTTCTGGCATGACCGTAAAACATGACAGGATGCACTTTTAATGTAGATAGTTAGCACCCTCTTCTCAAACCTTGTGCCTCTTGTGGCAAGCTTATGCTCGTGAATGACCCACACTCCAGTTATCTGGGAGAATCTCACATGAAAGACCTCTGCCAAATTTGTTGGAACTTTAAACCTCGCACAAAGGAGAACAGAGCAATCAGACTTAAAGCTATCCTAAAGGAAGCTGCTCTTAGACCAGCCTTGGAACTTGGTGCAAAGTACTCCTCCGGCACTGTTCTCCACCCCCGGGCTGAGGAAGAAGCACAAAAAGAAGCACACTGATAGAGGGCACTCGCCAGTGCCAACGAAAGGCAAGCAAAGGGAAGGCAGTGGAGCGCGACCCACTTCGGGCACTCCTCCACCCCAGGTCCCATGGTAGCACCATAGAGTCTACTGAGGGACCCTCCGCCGACGGCAGGAAGTCATCGCGGCACCTGCAGAATTGCAGTGCCTTCAACCCCGGAGATCTTTGCAGCAGCCAGAGACTTGTTGTCACTACCGGTCATGCCGACCCCATTAGGTCAGCTGCCAGCTTTGTCGTCCTTGAGCAGGAGAGAGCACAGAAGAAATATTATGTGCCAGTCAGTGGGTATGAGTATCCTTACTCTCACCCCCCTCCTGAGTCCCTCGTCATTTTGGTGGCTAACAAAAGGGACAGACAGGGCCCGCTGAGCACTACATGCAAACAGAAGGATGCAAAGAAACTTGATCTGTTAGGGAGGAAAGTTTATTTGACAGGCGGCCTACAACTATGTATCTCAAACCAGCAAGCCTTACTGTGGAGATACAACTACAATTTGTGGGACTCTGTCCAAATTTAAGGACTCCATGTCTTAAGACTTATGGCAGGAATTTTCAGCCATCTTAGAAAAAGGAAAGAATGTTGCCAGAGCCTCTCTCCGGGGGCACTGGATGCAGCAGACACAGCGGCCAGGACAATGGCCTCCATTGTCACCATGAGATGATGCTCTCAGCTGCAGTCATCGGGACTCACTCAGGAGATCCAGCAGTCTATCCAGGACCGCCCTTTCGAGGCTCCTCACTATTTTCAGAGCAGATGGACGCGAGACTACACGGCCTGAAGGACTCAATGGCTACCCTCAGGTCCCTGGGCCCCTTGCTCCGTCCGCTTTGAGGAAGCACTTCAGGCCTCAACAGTCGCCATGCTTCTTAGCTCCGCCTCTGAGACAGGACCCCATAAGAGAAAAGAGAGAGGTTACAAGCGCTGTCAACCATTTCCGTTCACCTCAACCTCCCAGCCAGGGTCACACAGGTACTCAGCTGAGACAAAGCAGGCTTTTGAAAGTGCGCCCAAGGGCGCTGTACCAGTTCCCACTTCAGATCCTGCCTCCCCTTTATTTTTGGGCCAACTGTCCCACTTCAGCCTGGTGTGGTTCTGCATAACATTGGACTCCTGGGTGCTAAATACAGTGGCGATTGGTTATATCCTGCAGTTTTCATCCACCCCTCCTTACCACACCCCATCCCTGTCCCTCTTCAGGGACCCTTCTAACAAGCAACTCCTTACCCAGGAGGTGCAGACCAATGTTCCCTCTAATTTTTGACAGGCTGTGTGTGCAAAAAATTTCTTCTGTGCAAATGTTTGTGCTTCTGTGCAAATGTTTGTGCACGCGGTATTTCGCCATGTGCACAGGGTTTAGGATCTGTGTGCATGCGCACACACGCACAGCTTAGAGGGAACAGTGGTGCAGACACTCCTACAGACGGGGGCCATGGAGAACTTACATCAAAACTTGAGAGGGAAGGGGTTTTACTCCCGTTATTTCCTAAGCACAAAGGCCATAGGGGGCCTTTGTCCCATATTGGGCCTCTTTCAACTCAACAGATATCTCAAGAAACTGAGGTTTCGTATGGTCTCCCTGGCCTCCATCATCCCCTCCCTGGCTCCAGGGGACTAGTATGCTGACCGCCCTCAACTGGAATGATGCTTACTTTCACATTTCTATCTTCAGTGGCCACAGATCATTTCCAGTTTACCACTCTTCCCTTTGGCCTGTCCGCAGCCCCCCGGGTTTTCACAAAATGCCTGGCAGTGGTAGCTGCCTTCCTCAGAAAGCAAGGTGTTCAGGGATACATGTACCTCACTGACTGGCTGATCAAGGGTTGTTCAGAGGCTCAAGTAAAGAACAGCATCAACTTGGTCCAAGCCACCTTCCGAGCGCTGGGCCTAATGATAAACGAGCAAAAGTTGACCCTTATGCCAGTTCAGAGAATAGAGTTTATTGGGGCACTGCTCAGTTCGACTCAAGCGAGAGCCTTCCTTCCAGAGGCCTGGTTCCGGACCATGTCGGACCTGGTATCCAAGGTCCAACCAATTACAACAGACCAGGTTTGCCTCAAGCTACTGGGGCACATAGCCTAGCCCATAGTCTAGCACAGACGTGGCTAGCTTCAGTTTACTCCCTGAACAGACACGACTTGGACTTGGTGCTTACTGTTCCAAACCCGGTCCTCATCTCCCACCACCACCTCTCCTCCCCACTCCTCTCCCAAAACAGCAAGAATGAATTTTCTAAGGAGACTGAGGGTAGCAAATTGCTTGGGCTATTCCAGCACCCATAGTAAGTGAGGAATGCCTGAGACGCTATATCCAGACATAGACTGGCTGGGATTCTCTCATGTTAGGTTGCAGTGCTCCTCTAACACTGAGACCCATCTTGGTGCATACTGTCTGAAAGCCAATTATTTTCCCTATTCCTTTTGGGGAACACTTAGCGTATTGAACTAGGCCAATATTTGTGCTGCTTGGCCAATGTATTCTTCCATTCACCCATCCTTACTGCTCGTGTAACACAAACAAAAGAATATTACCAAGCTGGCATTAAGAATCAGGAGGTTGATCTGTGTTTTCAATATTTAAAAAAAATCAAAGTGATAAAACATAAATCATAAAGTTATCACCAAAGAGAATAATAAAATCTATGCGGTGTTTTGACTCCAAAGAAAGGAAGAGAATAGGGTCAGTATTTCATTTTACATATTTTTCTCTGACAAGAATTTTAATAGTCCTATAAATAATCAAATGAAGGTATAACTATTCTTAGAGGTATAGAATCGGGAGCTAGGTTTGTAAAACCCATCTGCATGCTAAAAGCTAAATGATATATCAGAGCAGGAGCATTCTGCCTTGAAACAGAATATTAGGCAGTCTCACAAGGACGTGCAGCCGTGGAGCTTGTTGCTGTTTTGTTCCCAGCAAACTAGAACAGACAGTGATCCTCTGTAGCATTTGAATAGAATTGTGCCAGACAGACTGTATCTGGACTTGATAGAAGAGCAAGCTGGAATACCAGCCAGCCATTCAGTCTGCTTGCTGAGAAAGCAAATGGTTCAATAACTAATAAGCTTGCTTTGCGTTTGCAATGGTATTTCATAAAGGAGCACAAGCCTTTTATTTTACATCTCTGGAAGACACGCCTCCCTAGTCTGTGTCTGTCTTCATTCCTCCAAAGGAATTCCAACATTAGCAGCAAACTCTCCTCAGTGGAACTACCTCATTAATTAGGAGATGGTAGCATCTTTTATTTTTTACGCTGAAATACGAAGCTTCCAAGTCTGCATGGCGTGAGCAGGTGAGGATGTCTGCTGACAAGTCCAAATGATATTTTCAGGTAAGTGATTCCCTATTACAATCAGATAAAAGTCGTCATTTATTTTTCTCCTCAGTAATTATTGTGCTATTAGATTGTCAATGATCATTTTCACAAGGATCAGAAGTCTGCATGTATTTAAATGAATGGGCATCTATAGCATTTTTAAAGCACCTATTACCATAGCATCTGTCTGCCTTTGTGTGCAGCATAAAAATGAATGAGAAGATATTATTTTATTTGTAATACCTGGTGTTATATCACTTGAAAATCTAAAATTAATTTTTGCTTATGGACAGACTCACTTGAAGCCTTTGATGGAAATGACCCTTACCAGCAGTGATGGTTGCTCTTATAATAATTTAAATTGTTAAAGGGCTGGGCATAGTTGCTTTGTGCAAACTCTATGGCAGACTCTTATATTCTCATACTGTGTCAGTGTCTTCTGGTTGCTCTTAGTTTCTCTATGTGATTTCCAAAACTTCTGTTCAAGCTATTTTATGTTATTGCTGTTAGATTAATTGCACTCCTTTGTTATTCCTGGTGTTTCACTTTCTGTGTCATAGATTTTAATCAGACCTTGAATACAAAAGTAGGGTTGAATTTGTAGTGTAATCCATAAAATATTAACTGCATTTCCCTTCTCCTCTGACCAATACCTTGAAAAAAAAATAGAAAAGAACGTGTAATGGCACGTTTGAGAACTATTGCATGGCATTCTCGGACTCGATGTAAGATGGTGTGAAGAAAAACAGCTTATGTGGAAGTAGCCTATTTTTTGGTCAGTTCCTCCATTGCTCATGGTAACTGAAATTGCTCAACCCTTTGCTTGTACAAATGTTACTCTACATTGTTTACATGAAGAACAGGAGGACTTGTGGCACCTTAGAGACTAACCAATTTATTTGAGCATAAGCTTTCGTGAGCTACAGCTCGCATTCAGCTGTAGCTCACGAAAGCTTATGCTCAAATAAATTGGTTAGTCTCTAAGGTGCCACAAGTCCTCCTTTTCTTTTCGCGAATACAGACTAACACAGCTGCTACTCTGAAACCTGTCATTGTTTACATGGAAATCCTATCATTTATTTTAAGCATTCATGCAGCATGTAAACAATAAAACATACCAAAAAATTACGTGAACAAAAGTTATAGAATATTGCAGGTTATACAGTTTCCATATTTTAAAAGTCACTGTTTCTACTTTTGTTGTTGTGAGCTGAGATGCACATGACAAAAGAACAGGATAATGCAGAAGGTTTTCACTACCAAAATGTGTTATTTCAGTTGTTTTGAACAGTTTTTATCAAGTGCTCTCTTTACCATTTAGTAATTCAAGAATGTTACAGGCACAATAAGGTTCAAGCACACTGTACTCTGCCCAGGTATACATGCATCCAAGATATGCTTTTGTAGTCTAATTGGGATCTGTACATTCCCCTTGTAGAACTGTTCCTTTTGCTTCCTTTGCCCAAGGCAATCTGAGAGAACAGATCCAGCAGTAGGTGTAAATACAAAGCTGTTCCTGACTTCCCACAGCAAAGATGTTTTTCAAGCACAGCTCAGTGAGGCTCTGTTTATTCTGCTGCTGGGTCTACGGTGGGGAGGGCCAGAATAGGAATCTTTGCTTCCAAATGCCAGACTGAACTCTTTGTGGATAATCATTCACCATGAAAGATGTTAATATGGGGCTCAAAACTTTTCACTATATCTTATGCAATTAGGGCTTGGTCCAAAGCCCACTGAAGTCAGCGGGAGTCTTTCTACTGACTTCAGACCACATGTTGCATAAGATGCTGTTGTTTAAAGATTCTACCTAACATCTGAGCTGACTCCAGTAACATGCACAGACTCTCATGTAAGGCTAATAAGCTATTCTTTACTTTTGAAGAAGTTAAAACTATTTACCAGCTACTGTTAGTAAAGTATCTAATGCAACCTCTGTCTGTGTTAATTCCTGAGCAGACCCCACCCCTCCATGCAATGGAACCCTCTTAAGAGGGGGCAGCAGGGGCAGTGGACAGCTCGGGAACCGTGTCAGGATGGCTTCACCAGACCTGTGCCAACAGAGCCAGGAGAGAGCAGCAGAACTGAGGCTCAAGACCCAGCAGATTAGATACCCAAAGAGCTATAAGTTCTGGGGACTGAACCCCCAGCTTCTTCTGATGGGGAGAAAGCAGGCTATTCCTTTCCCTCAGTGAAAGTATTCAGAAGAGGCTCCAGAGCAGTGGTTCTCAAAGCCTGGACCTCTCTCCTTTAGTAATGTGGGAAGAACAGGGTGATCACAACCTCTTGACACCTGTTCGCATAATGAGCCCCAGGCAAAGACCCTTGCTCTAGAGGAATTTCATCATTTTCTTCCACATAAACATATCCCTTAGCTCTTCCTGTGAGTTTTTCCATGGAAGGGAGCAGTTTCAGAGTAAGCCTAGATTTGGCCCTCTGTATTGGGGATTTATCAAGATTTGGTCCACTGTATCCTGGTAAAGACTCTTATTGGTTTCATCTGCATATATCATCCTTTTACTGCACTATTTTTCATACCTGAGTGAATTCATTTTGGACTTAACGTACAGTACTTGGACAGTGCTCAAAGTATTATGCAAGAACAGAGTGATGTTGTTCCCACTGCCAACATACGAGGTCCATCAACATTCTTGTTAGGATTGAAGGGTTTTTAACAGAGCTATTGAATTAGGCTCCAAAGCTCACACTTGATGTATGACACAAATAAAATCTTTTGGCCATTTCTGAGCATGAAGAATGCAAAAAGAAAACAGGAATTAGTTTTGAGTTTCCATGGCTTTCCAACCCCATAAATCCTAGGAAATGAATTCCCCAGTCTGCTGGATATGAGAAGCACCTGTGTGCACACACTTACTTTTTACACGCATGAGGAGGCCTATTGAAGTCAATGGGCCTTATGTGCATAGAAATATATGTGCTTAAATCTTTATCAGACCAGGGCCTAAATGCTCCAGCATCTTTCAACATAACAGCATATTCAATATGTAGATTAAAAAAAAATCTTGTGCCTTCAAGTAATTGTTTTTCAGATTTGTCAGGACTCTCCTCAGTTGTCATGTTAGGGCAACATCACATTCTTCCAACTCACCTTTCCTTATTTTAAAATTATATAATCCCACATCTAAAAATATTGGATGCCTTGTAAATTGCCTCAGTGTTTTTTTTAAGGTGACTTTACGTAGAAAAGAGATGGACTGTCAGGAAAGAGAACAGATTTTTCCACTTATTCATGAATATCTGCTAAAATCCAGAGTGAGTCCTCATTAAGCTATATTTTGCTAACCTTCTGTCTGAGCATCTAAAAGCTATAGGGACAAATTCTGCTCTGACTTACACCTTGTGAAAATCAATGGGAATTCAGTGTCGGACTGCCTTTTGTGCTTTCAAAAATCTCCCCTCTCAAAAATGAAATGTACCTCACCTCCATGCTGCAGTTCTGTTGACTGCTTTCTTTTGTCACAGTTTATAAATAATATCTTTCATTTCTGCACGGGATACTACAGTCTAGTTTTGGTGTCAAATGTTCACACTCAAAGCTCTGTCTTGATATTTT